GGGTGTTTTCCACCAAAGAACACTCATTCTCTGGTGAGCAAGGACTTCCAGAGACTGCAGCGACACTCAGATGAATCTTTCCTGAATGCCCTGGATCCTCTTGACCAACTGCAAGTCCTTGAGGAACAGAGTGATTTGGCCAACATAATGGATGTTCCTGTTCTCCCAAAACCTCATGTGGGGATAGGTAAAGAATTTCAATAGTGGCTGCATTAGAGTTGGTGAATTTGACTTAAGAATGTGACACTGGGATTCAGAGTGGTATGGATAGTGGAAACTCCACTGTAGGTGTGGATGGCACCGATCAATAGGTTTACAGCCTGGATAGGATATAAACAGGCAGCGGGGAAGGCAGGCTGCTGCTGTGAATTGTTGCTTGCTCTCTTCTGCCCGCCCTGACCACACCATGGATCATTTTTCCCCTGTGATGCCTCTCTGCCATGGTACCCTGCTTTAGAGCCAGCCAACGATGGACTGAAATCTCTACAAACTGTGAGCCAAATACTCCTTCAACTCTATGTCAGGTATTTTGTCTGAGGAACAAGGACACTAAGACAGGGAACTACAGTGTACCTTTAAAAGGCTCACTGTGTTGAGGACTTGGTTCCTGATAGGTTTTCAGGAAGTAATTGGACAATGAGAGCTCTAACTTGATTAGTGGGTTGATCCATTGATAGGCTCATAATGTGATGACATTATTGATAAGTGGGGCTTAGCTGATGCGAGTAAATCCTGATGGAGTGACCTTGGGGATTATATCTGATTCCAACCTTCCTGTCTGGCTCTTCTTTTCTTTCTTTATTCCCTTGCTGCCATGAGATGAAGCTTTGCTCCAGCATGGTTTTATTTCTTCCAGGGCTAAAAATAATGGAGCCAGCTGAGCATGGGCTGAACCTTTAGAAACTATGGGCCAAAATAAGTTTTCCTCCTTTAAACTGTTCATATTAGTTATTGTATCCACAGAGGTAAAAGACTGACTAGACATGGTAGACAAATTTGATGACGGACTTGAAAACTGCAGAGGAGAAAAGTAAGACAAATTCTGCCTCTGCCGGTTAGCAGCTCTATAATATTGGACAAAATACTCAGAGCAAGTCTCTTTTCCTCATATCTTAATGCCTTCTCACTTGTTTCACTTCAGAATGTTCGTATTTTTGTGTCTTTGTCTTAATAAGTATTGGAGATCACAAATTCACAAGGGCTAATTTTGTGTACTTCCCTAAGTGATAAAATGGAGGCTTGGAATTATCAGCACCACACATCTGAGATTTCCCATTAACTCTTCCTAGCATAAAATCATCTGTGTCCTCTGAGTCAGCCCAGGATTATACTCCAGGACAAGGTCTTAGCATAAAATCATCTCTGCCTTCTTAAAGCATCCCAGGATTATACTTGCCCATAGACCATAAACCTCTGAGTCTTCTGTCAAATTGGAATATTTCACTAAGCTCCACCTATCACTAAATGTACCCAACAAATAGTGGCTGTTTTGGAGTATCATGAGGAGGACTCACCTACATATATCGACTTCCCAGCCACTCATGTATCACTAAACTTGTATCTGCTTTTTATTTTATCCTCTCACTGTACTTTAACACAGACAATCAGGGCTCTTTTCCAGGTCTCTGATAATGAGATTGAAAGAGTCTTGCCCTAGTATAAATTACTCCATGGCAGTGGTCTAATATGGAGGAAGGCCAAAGTGGGAACAGTGACCACTTTCTCCTTCTTCTTCAGCCCTAATTGCAACTCCCTTTCCAGTTTGCATGTGAAGAAAATTCCAGTCCGTTCCTCACATGTCATCAGGGCCCGCCCCAAGTGCTGCTTCTGGTCAGATAATCTCCCGCCATGTTTGTCTCTGGTGAAGGAGATAACCCAACCACCACAGATTATGTGCTCCTTTACATGTCCTCAATAAATGCACTTTTTCTTTTTTTACTTTTTGCTTCTCTATTGCACCAGAAAACCTTAACATTTTGGTGCCTCATGAATCAGATTGGCAGTGTGTGGCTCCTGGGAGGTCACCCCAGTTTCAAGCTCCCCTGCCAAAGAGCCAGTTTTCTTTCCTCTGGGACCTGCTTATTTGCTGCTGTTAGCCTGCATCCAACACTGATGCACTTCATTTGACATATGTGAGTCACCTTTCCATCTGGGGTTTTTCTGTCCCATTTTCTTAGCCTTAAAAATTCATGCATATATGTCAGATAACCTCTTGCCATCCCTGGACAAAAATAGCAGTTCTTATGTTCCTTGGATAATCAAAGGCAGAGCTGTTACCCTCTTGTCCTCAGGGACCCCACTCTGCACTCTCAGTGTCCGATGAGAATGGGTGTTGGGACCTTCCTTGTCACACTTTCAAAACAGGTGATGACCCCTTTTGATAAATGTGACCCAGGTAGCTTTCATGTTTCTTGGGCAGAGCTGAAGCTCTAATGTCCTGAGATAAAGTTGTTTTCTTGGCTTACCTCTAATTCAGTCACTATGGGGAATATCATTTCCTGTCCCCTGAAAAACATGTCTGTGGGGTACCTGGTTCATAACCTTGGTGCTCTTGGCTTCAAGAAGGCTATAAAAACCAAAAATCTGATCTTTTAGTGCCAGGTGGCTTGGGCAACCTCCTAGCTTAATGACAGACCATGGCCTAAGGAGAAAACATTTGACCCCTCTGTCCTTCAAGATGTATATAACTTTTGTCATTGCAATAGTAAATTAATAGGAATCCCTTATGTCCAGGCCTTTCTCACTCTGACGATGTGTTCTTCTCTCAGTCCGTCTCCCCTTTCCTAACTCCCAGTAGTCTCTGTTTCTATATTTCCTCTCCCTAATCTCAGACTCCCCATCCTCTCAACCAGAGCCATCTATCTCATCGGATGGCACCTCTTGTTCTTTCCCCTCTGTTACTGTGTTGCCATTCTCCCCGCCAGCTCACCACACTTGGTCTTGCATGTTTCAGCCACCTAGCAGACCACATGGTATTAGACAGCCATCTGTGGTCCCATGCCACATGGTCCTCAGCAGCCATTTTGCTGCAACTCACAATGGAGGACAGCTCCATTTTGTGGTTCTTCACCATGTGACAGTGTGCAACCATCTTGTGATATGTCACAAGATGAAAGGCCACCATCTGGAGCCATACCAGGCAGAGAACAAGTCAGCGTCTCCCAAGATCCAGCCATGTTGGAATTTTGGGGACTGAGCAAGAAAGCAACAAGCCCTCCGTCCTGGTAAGTGGTGGCAGTATGAGCGAGCAGTGGGCACACCAGTGAAAGAACAAGTCAGTGTCTCCTGTGGGTACTGGCATGTGGGCTGAGAGTCAAATGTCCCATCCCCCAACCCAGTTAGCAACTGGATGGTGTCAAAGACAGCTGAAGTTGATAACAACCAAGGTGCTTAAAGCAACTTAATGCTTGTATTGTTTCATTAATTATGCTAATCTGGGGCCAGCAAACTGAGCATCTCTTGGGAAGATGACAGTGTGAAATATAGCAAATATGGGGATTTCCTTCTATCTTGTCTTTGAAGGCAAATATTGTTTTCAGTTTTGCTTTACTATGATTAATTGTTTGCTCTATTCAATATTCTGTTTTGATAAGTTCTATTTTTAGTTTGATTTCACTATACCTGATTGAATGGACAACTATTGTGAAGATAACAAGATATACCATGGTACCTATTACTGTTCTCCCGGTATCCTGCTCTGAAGTTCTGTACCAATTTCACTGCTTTATTTCAATTGGCTTTGTTCTGTCTTATTTTGTTGTAGTTTACTACCTTCAAAACAGAAAAGGCCACCATCTTGTGGTCCCTCACCATGTGACCAGAGAAGCCATCTTGTTGCAGGCCACATGATGATCAGTTGCCATCTTGTGCTCCCTAACCATATAACCAGCTGCAGCCATCTTGTTGAAGGTCAAATGATGACCAATCACCATGTAACTGGCAGCAGCCATCTTGTTGCAGGTCATGTAATGATCAGTCACCATCTTGTGTTTCCCTGTCACATGATGATGAGTGGCCATTTTATGGTTAAGCACACTGTAATTGCCCACAGATGCATGCTGAGTGATCACCTGCTCAATGGTCATCTACATCTCCCACTACACAGCCTTCTCAGACTCAATCCTTATTCCCCATTTTGGAGCAGACTGGTCCCCAGGGACTAGTTCATATTCATATTCCTTTTTCTTTCACTGAATTATGTCAGATTAACCATAAATTAGGTTCCTTCTCTGCTGACCCATGAAATTATATTAGAGAGTTTAAATTTATAATTAATTGTTATGATTTACATTTCAAAGATGTTTATGTAATTCTGAAAATCATCCTCAGCTAACAAAAGCAGGCTCACTATGGCACTTTGCAGCTGGAGAAGAAACCAATTGTAGACATAAAACAAACACTGCTGGGAATGACCCTGGGTCTGCTATTCTTATTTCAAGAGATTTGTTAATTGACTTATAAAAAGAGTCTCACTAGTCTATTTATTATAGTTTAAATTGGCCAAATATATTTGAATACACTCTATATAAGGTATTTGTCTGCTAAACTGTATATGTTTCCATCTCCAATCTGTACAGATTGTCTATATTTTTTTTTGTATGTCACATCCACAAACAGCTTTTCTTTTTTGAGTTCAACACCTTTTTCTTTTGCACTTTCAGATTATTTAATCAAGGCTATTTGGGTTATAGATTTAAAAAGCATGCTTCCACCTGGATTGCCAGCTGGTCAAAATGATGCTAAAATTGGTTAAACAAAATCCCTTGGGGTGTGGAGAGACTGGACAAGACTTTAATTGATGAATCTGAAAGCAGCCACCTGGTAACATTAACCAGTTCTTAGTATTAACTGGAGGCCCCAATAATCTCCACAGTCTTATGGAAGACACCTCAACTAAAGTTCATATAGCTAAGACAATTCATTATTGCTGATATTGTGGTATATTTACACCTTCAAGTATAAATCTGGGATTATTTATGATGATAAATATTTTCTTTCAGATCCAGACATCTGCCTTTTTCTTGTGCTCCAGCCAGGAGATTCAAGTCAAACCAACATGAGGTCACCAGTCAAATGATAAATTTTAAACAAAAATTTATGTAATGTCCATCAACAAAAGTACCTAAGAACCAATGGGTTACAATTGCTATAACTTAGAAACAGTTTCTAAACTTAAGTGTCAGCCCTACTGCTCATGCTTTGATTATATATGCCTTTGTATAAATATTTTGATTATACATGGCTTGATTAAAGTTTGTTCTTGCCTAGAAAGTGCCAAACCCCAAGACATCATACAGGTGAAAATAATAACAAATCTGCTAAATTCTTTTTTGATTATTTTTATTGGGATCCACCAAATTTTGTCCAGAAAAACATTATAGGACATATTTGAGACCATAATTGCACTCAACAGGCCTTAAATGACACCACAGTTGATCTCTCTCTTAAATAAAAAAGGTAAAATTAATAAAACAAAAAGTCTTCCAAAATCAAATGGTATCAGACATCCCTAACAGCACAGGAGGTATTTACACAATTGTAAAAACTAAATGTACATTGACAAACCAATGACGTCAGTTTCTAAAATTCCCTGGGCCTTGTCCTTATCCTCCTTATGGGAAGCCATTACTAAAACTATATTCATAATTGTCCTGTTGATTCTGTTATTTGGCCCATGCCTACTTAATTGATTCTTTGATTTTGTCTTCTCTAGACTTAAATCTGTATGCCTACCCAAGATGAAAGTGCCTGGTATCTACTGAGGGCCATTAGTTAGAAGCCCTACAGAGTATCACTGACCACTGTTTAACAACTATGACCCCCTTCAGCCTGAAGAAGCCAGATTGGGCATCACACATTAGCTTCATGGCATTTTGGGTTATTTCTTCAGAGGGGTAAATGTTATAGGCAGGTGAGTCAGTTAAAAATATTATAGGTAGTCAGACAGGACCTTAAAGGAGCCAGCACAAAGGACCTGTTGTGACTTTGTGTGATGATACCTCCCACTGCAGACCAGATCCCAAGACAAAAGGCTAAACTTGGGAGACCTTGTTAATATGGTTCAAACCCACAGGGGGACCTTCTTAATATGATTTTTCCCATTTTCAACAACAGAAATAAAACCCAAAAAGTATGGGAAAAATAAGGAAACTTGCTACATATCAATCTAATCTTCTAGCACCAGCACTTGGGGCTCCTAAGACAGGTAAACCAAAACAGGGTGAAGGCTGCCTGAGCCCCTCCCAGACCATCTTCAAGTGTAACAAGAAAGGACACTGGGCATGAGAATGCCCCAACCCACAAGTTCTTCTGGGGGCCCTCCTACTCTGCAATCTCAAGGGCTATTGAAAAAGCAACTGTCCTAGCTGTCAGAGAGCAGGTAAGTCATCCTTTAACTCCTTACTCCCATAGGAAATCTCATCACCACCAGATTCATCACTGGCTGATCTAATGGGACTTGCTGCTAATGATTGACAAGGCTTGGGGCCCATATCCCCAGTAAAGTATCCTCAGGGCCCTGAATTTCACTGGAGGCCTCAGATAAGGCACTTGTATACATGGAGGCCTTGTATAGTGTTCTTCCTAAATTTTCAGGCCATTATATTAAATCCTCAGTCTCTGCAGTGGGTGCTGACAGCCAACATACACATTCTTTTCAAACAGGGCCCATTTCATGCAAGTTGCAAACTCTTTTTTACTCTTAGCTTTCTGGTAATACCAACATGCCCCACATCCTTTTAGGTAGATATTTCCTCCAAAAGCTTAACTTCTCCTTACCTTCTCCCTTCCCACAGCTTTAGTCCTCCAAACACCATCACAATGTACCATAAAACCAACCCCTCCTCTCCCTTTTTCCCTTGTTGATCCCATAGTCAGAGACACCTCCAAACCCACCCACACTACCATGCTACACCTGTTTTAATTCATTTCAGAGATCCTTCGATTTTTCCTTGCATTCCTGAGTATCCTTTAATTCACACACATCTACAGAGATTCAAACCTATAATCATCTTTTAAACAACAATTTCCTCAATACTTCATTCACCCTACAATATTCTCATGTTCCTAGTACTCAAGCCTAATGGGTCCAATTGTCTGATACAAGACCTTAGGGTTATCGGTGATGCTGTTATCCCAGTTCACCCAGTGGTGCCAAACCTTATGCTCATGCTCTCTCACATTGTTCCCTGCACCACTCACTTCACAGTCCTAGTTCTGCTTTTTGTTTTGTTTTGTTTTGTTTTGTAGCATCCTCCTACTCCTTGTCAGTATTTCTTTTCATTTACATGGACTGACCCAGACACTTTCAGGTATCAACAACTTACCTGGACAGTGCTCTCTCAAAGGTTCAGGGATAGTCCTCATTTCTTTAGCCAAGCTCTTGATGCTAACCTTACAGCTCTTGACCCCAAACCCAGCACTCTCTTTCAATACATTAATGACCTTCTCCTGTATTCTCCATCCCATGCAACATATAGCCAGCCACTTTGGCCATGCAACATATAGCCAGGCTCCTCAATTTTCTTTCCAATCATGGGTACAGGGTTTCCCTTGCTAAAGCCCAAATAGCTTCCCCAAAGTCAAATATCTGGGTCTCTCTTTCACTTCTACCATTCATTCCTTAACCAAGGATCACAAGGCAATTCTTTGGGACCTCACGGTGACCACAACCAAACAACATCTTTTTTCAGTTTAGCTAACCTCTTTCACTTCTAGATTCCTAACTTTACAGCTCTAGCCCAAGCCCTCTACAAAGCTTCCAAAAATTCCTTATCAAAACCCCTAGTCTTAGCCAAGCTCAGAGTACATCTCTGGACTCCTACTTTTCTAAGCCCTTTTAAATGCATGCATGGCTGGCCATTCCTATTCCACAATCTTCCTACCTTCCAAAGTCTCCCTCTTCTTGCTGACCACATCCCAGTTCTCTCTTTCCTCTGACACTTGTTACAACAACATGCCAATCTCTGTCTCCTCCAACCCTCTGATGGAACAAAACCAGATCCTCCCATATCCCCAGGAGATCTAATTTATCTTAAACTTTTTAAATCCATAGGACTAGCACCAAATTGGAGTAGCCCCTACCAGGTCTTCCTCACAACTTCAACAGTGGTCAAGGTTGCTAGACTGCCATCCTGGTTCCACATCACTCAAGCTAAACTGTGCCTCCTAACTGTAACTCCCCTGATTCTAAACATCCTGAGTAGTCATCACATCTTCTATCTCCCCTATCCATCTCACCAAGATCCCATAGCCACAACTTTCAGGCTAAGTCATGTTTTGTTATCCTATTTGGTTCTTGATTCCTTATATTCTATTAGCTATTTTTTTGCTGTAAGACGCTGGGAAGTCTTTCCTAAAGACTTCCACATTATATTCAAAATTGTTTTTATTCTGATCTACATAACAACTATCTTAGTTCTCTCTACCCTCAGCTGTTTGAGTTAAACATGAGACCCCTCTGTGTCTGGTCTCTCATATCACTTATAATATAGTCACAGCCTTCGCCACCCCTAGGCTATTTGGGGGGGGGTATTGGGGATTGAACTCATGACCTTGTGCTTGCCAGGCAGATGCTTATGCCACTGAGCTAAATCCCCAGCCCCTCACCACTAGTCTATAATTTCCCAAACATGGCTTAACTGTCAAGCCTTATGTTTCTCATGTTCCCCATTCTCCCCAGCTCAACCACTGGACCAAGAACAAGTGTTAACTATACTTTTACCCTTTCCAATGGAAAAGTAGTTACCTCCCATAACATCACCCTTCCCAACTCCATGTTTATATTTCAGATTCTTCCTCACTATGGCCCTGATGGAACAACACATTTGGATCATGGACACTTTTCCTTCTACCTCTCCTGGGTTCTTTAATTATGATAGTAGCCTTTATAACATCTTGTTTTTTTTAATCCCTCCAATCTAGGATGCAAGCATTCACAAATAATAAACTCCTTGTCCTGCTGAAACACCCTAGCTCCAGCTTCTACATGAGCATCAACTATCATCTTGTCAACCCTCCTAAACTCCAACACAATGCCCCCATCCAGCAGGAAATAGTAAGAGAAACTCGTTGCTCTTTACTAACAATATAAAGATGGGAGTTGCTTCAGCCCTAATTGCAACTCCCTTTCCAGTTTGCATGTGAAGAAAATTCCAATCAGTTCCTCACATGTCATCAATGCCCGCCCCAAGTGCTGCTTCTGGTCAGATAACCTCCCTCCATGTTTGTCTCTGGTGAAGGAGATAGCTCAACCACCACGGATTACGTGCTCCTTTCCACATCCTCAGCAAACATGTTCTTTTCTTATTTTACTTTTTCCTTCTCTATTGCCCCAGAAAACCCTAACAGAAGTAATGTGACAATAATTATATATAGAAAAAGAAAAATATATGGTATAATGCATAATAATATGCTTCCAAATTTGTTCCCTTATCATTCCATCCTTTGTTTTTGGGGTCAGCTTTATTGAGGTAAAATTTCAAGCACAGTAATTCATTATAATTTTAGTATACTTTCTCTCTTCAAAGTTGCAAGAGCATTAATAGGAAAAACATGAAAATATCACCTACAGCTTTATATTCTTAGAAATTAAACTGCTATGTAGTACTTTGATTATTTCTTGTACTTACACCTCATATTTGAGTGTTTTTGCCTGGTTTATGGTTATAAATGGCACAGACATGTTTAGGTTGTTGACAGCAATTCATGTTAGATAATGAACATTTTTTTTTTCATTGTGCTTCATAGTGTTCTTAATGAAGCCATATGACATTGTCTTTAACTGATCAAATTCCTCCATCTGTTCAGGGACCCAAGCCAAAAATTTGAGTGAGAACATAGGATTCTCATGGCACAGTTCTCATTCAGAACAGCACCTTTTCTTACCTAGATTAAAGAAATGCTCCTAACTGATGCCTTTACTTTTTGATGTTCCATCAATCTGTTATCAAGCACACAGTGTTTAGGGAGCTAAGTAAAATAGAATATTATAGGCAATCAGATAGGACTGGGCCCTCCCTGGAAGGAGCCAGCATAGAAGGTCAGATACCTTGCAACTATGGGGGAAAACAAACACCTCTTGCTGAAGATAAATGACAAAACAAATGCAGCCACACGCTAAGGATAAACATCAGAGATTGATATTCTAAACAGATCTGGATCACTTTGAGGAATCCAGAAGGAGCCACTATAACCCAAACCCCTACAGGCAAAGGCACTCTTCCCCTTGCTACATGACTTGCTTCTCTATTGGATCCTGATTTAATCAATTTTACCGGAGCAATTATACTCACAATCTTATTGGTTGACCATATTTCTGTCCCACCTCATGTCCACCTGCCTGTGAGTTCCCATTTTTCCCTACCTTGGACCTGCCTCACCTCATGGTGGTTGCGCTCTATAAAAGTTCCTAGAAAAGACAGTGTCTTTGGCAACCCACTCAGGACACCTTCTGACTTTCAGACAGAAGCTTTCTTTCTCTCAATAAATATATTCTGTTTTTTAACCTCTGTTGTTCCTAAAATTCATTCTTCAGTTTTAGAGAACACGAACTCATACTGGGACATCTAGTAGGTTGGGAGTTTCTTTCTCTATATCAACAGCAACCAGGTGTAAAACATGTTTTTTCAGTGATTGTTGAGCAACTACCCATTAGAGGCTGAATCATTTCCAGTCCTTCAGATGTAGGCCCTTACCTACATTTTCAGCATCATAAGTTCTCTCAACCCCCACCTCACTGTGTATTTGTTGTATTCTTCAAAAACCTGTCAAGTAAGTGAATGACTCTGCTTTGAATGACTTTCCCACATCTCCCATTTCCTGTGATACCTTTAATGCTTGGTGTAAACATTGCTTCCTCTTGCAAATATCTCTTGCCCTCCCCAGAATGAGGGATATGCTTCTACTTTCATACTCTTGGATATATTTGAAAATGGTTCTATTTTATTCTGTACTTTCCATGTTACAAGTACTACATTCCATTCCAAGTACTATATACTTCTCTATCATAAAAATTATGTTCTATTCAGGTTATTATTTCTAGAGATGTAACATCTGGCATTTGGTAGGTTCCAATAAGTGTTATTTCAATAATTTAATAATTACAGTCTTACTAATTCAGCACTATTTTCCAGGCACTTAATACTTTCCAGGCACTCAAAATACTTTTTCACATATCTCAACCCTCTAAATGGCTCTGTAAGATAGTTATTACCCAGGTGTGGTAGTGCATGCCTGTAATCCCAGCATTTGGAAGGCTGAGGCAGAAGGATTGCCACAAGTTCAAGTTTACCTTGGCTACAGTATTCCATGGCCAGCCTGAACTACATAGGAAGCTTGTCTCAAAAAAAAAAGTTAGTATTTATCATTATCATTTTAAAGATGAGAAAATTGAGACACATAGAGGCAAAATCATCCCACAGCTAATAATGGAATCATAAGACTTATACACTATATTTGAACTTATACACTATAGCTCTGGCTCTGGATAACACGTTCCTAATGAATACACACACACACACACACACACACACTCACTGACATACACAACCTTTCCTTTATTGCTTAATACACAGATTACTTATGGTCGGTTTTTCTTTATCTCTCTGTCTCTCTCCCTGCTTCCCCTATTCCCTCTTTCCCTTTCCCTTCCTTTGACTTTGGCTAAAGATAAATTCCCATGAAAATTAAAGTTGGGACCTTTTGTCTGTATTTTCATATACCCAGTCACAACTTTACCTAACCTGATGTCACTTGTGCCAAAGGAGTGAAAGTTCATGGCAGCTTGCCATCCCAGGCTGACATGGTTTAAGGGGCAGGGCAAGGCAGGTCAAGGACTCTAAAGATGGCTGCAGGACGAGAGCAAGGAAGTGTGATCTGACATCAAATAACCTTGGTCAGCAGTCAGCTTGGCTTCACAATGCAGATTTCAACATAATTTTAGGATGAGAGAATGGAAAGCATTTCCATGTTGCTTCTTCTCAAAACTGCCCCAATTTTAATGACTTAGTGGCTAAACAGTAGCACAGACTTTTGTCCTGTTATCTTTTATGCCAGAAAGTAGTTCATCTAAATTATGTGAATATACATTTTTAAAATTCATTCCAAGTAAATCTGAAATTGAAATTGCCATGTTTTGAGGAAACTCCAAGCAGCCAAATGAAGACATCATGTGAAAGAGAATGATAACTAGCCAGCTCAAGTGGTCCAAATACTCCAACCTAAATACTGGATATGGAAGCCAGGAGTCCATGTCTGACACTTCAGCTTCAGTAGACATGATGTGGTGAACTACTAAGGAACCAAGAGCCAGAATTAAGCCCTCAATGTTATCTTTGTTCTTATTTAAAATTTTATTTTATTTTATTAGTACATGTTTGCAATTCATGAAATTTATAATCATCTTGCAGAGTGGTTACGTGTACATTTACATATGTACATATTATAGTTTGTTTTTTTTTCCCTAATCCCTTTCCCTCCCTTTCTTTTCTCCGCCTCTGGTTCCCCTATTACCATTTTCATGCTTGTCGATATTATGTGTCTTAGCTCATGTTATGGCATATAATGTTACCATTGTTCTTGGGGGCTGCTACAACAGCATAGACTGAATTGCTTATAAACAATAGAAACTTGGTAGTGCATAGTAGTGCATATCTGTAATCCCAACAATTGGGAAACTGAGAAAAAGAATTATGAGTTTGAGGCGAGCCTGGGCCTCATAGAGAATTCAAGGCCAGGCTGTTCAAGGCCAGTGTTTTGAGACACTGTCTCGAAAGAAAGAAAGAGAGACAGAGAGAGAGAGAAGAAAGAAAGAAAGAAAGAAAGAAAGAAAGAAAGAAAGAAAGAAAGAAAGAAAGAAAAGAAAGAAAAGAAAGAAAGAAAGAGGAAAAGGCAAGCAACTTATTTCTCACAGAAGGCTGGGAGTCAGATCAGTATGCCAAAAGAGTTAAATTGTGCTCAGAGCCCTTTTAAGGGTTACAGAATGCCTGACCTCTCACTGTGTCCTCATGTGGTAAAAGGGCAAAGGTCTCTCTGAGGTCTCTTATAAAAGCACTGATCTTATGAATGAGTGGACTCACCCTTATAGTCTAATTTTCTCCCAAAAGCTTCATTCTGGGAGTTAAGATTCCAATCTATGAGTTTGGAGATGGAAGATGATAAACATTCAGGCCATAGCAGATTGATAGTACCAGCTGAACCATCCTAACCATTTATGGCTATTTCAACCACTCCGTTCATCATGGAACAGAAATGAAAAGATTTCTCTTGGAACCTGCTCCAATTCCAGACCACAAAGCATGGAGGATAGTAGATACCATTTAATGCCACTGAAAAATAAGAATAAATTTTAAAATTTCCTCCGTGGGATTAAAATAAATTTTGAATGAGAAACACTCACTGAAAATAAGTTCCATTCCTATTGTTAAGTAAAAATCACAACTGGCCACTGTTTTGAACTAAGTTCCTGCACCAGTCCCCAACATACAAGACTAAAATTAAACTTCGTTTAAAATTCTTAGTCACCAAACTGAAACTAAGATGTTTATTTGACCTAGGATTAGAGATAACAACCAAATTTCCCAAACAAGCCATTTTATATTGGCATGATAGTGACACCAAAAAACCTAACCTGAAGTAACTGGATATTCAACAATGTTACTTTTCTACTGTTCAGTCACCCTATCCCTGCCCTATAAGGAAAGTAACTTTGAAATGACCAATGCACTTTTTGTCTTCATTTTTGTCTTCTTATTGTTGTTTCTGGATTTTTCATCCATTTTCTGTGCATAGAACCAACATCTTCTACTGGGTTTGCCAGAACATTTAACCTGTTTTATGGAATGAACTGCTTCCCAATTCTAGAATTGAAAATGAAGCCAATAAATATCAGTAAACCAAGTTGTTATAATTGTGCCTTAGCTGCTGAGCTGGTTTCCATGCTTTTTTGTGGGTTTGTTTCTGTGTGAAAAAGCAATTGCTCACCACTGAGACTGACTTTGACCAAAGTCACATGCATAATCTCTATGTAGCAGCAGCAGGGATGGCAGCTGAAGGGTTCTCCTGGCAGAGTTTTCATCTCCAGGCAGAGTGATCAATGAAACTGACCTCTAGCTGCCTGAGGGTGTTGGAGCCACTGTGAGGCCTAAAAAACAATGTTTCCTTAGCTTACCTCCTATGGTAGAGAAAACGCTGACTTTAGGAGTAGCTTAACCTAGATTTAAATTCTTCCACTTAAATTTATGCATGACTCTCGACAACTTAATGAGCTTGGAGATACCACATTTTCTTATCTTTAAAATGAGGATAACAGGGCCTAACTTTGTAGGCTTCTAACTGGTAATATTTGGGGTAGTGTGCAAGGATTAAATAAACTGCACTGATCTAACATATATTAATAAGGTAGCTAATGATTACTGGGTATACCATGAATGACTTCAAATTTCTTATCACCATCCTCAGAAAGCTTAGTTCTTTGATGTCTTCCTATTTCATACAGTTTCTCTCTTCTCAACTAACCCACCCTCTTTTCCCTTTCTAAGGTGGTGATCTCAATACATATTTATTTCACTGATCAACGATAAGGACTGCCTCATCTTTCAGTCATTAAACCTAGACTTCTCCCGACATTTGTATCTACCCTCCCTGCCTTTTCAGCAATGAAGGAAATGTCTCCCCTCCATTAAAGACAGTCCTTCCATTTGTGTCCTGAACCCCAACGTCCTTTGCTGTCTCCACTGGATAATTCCATCAGCTTCCTCATAGGTTTTCTTCTCTCTCATCTTTGGAAAATTTATCTTGAACCCTAATCTCCTTTCAGCTACGTTTAAGTCCTCTGGTCTCTCCATAGAAGATTCTCAAGAAAGTTCCTGTTCAGATTATCTCTGCCTCTTCACTGATGAACACTTGGTTTTGATTCTGGCTCTATTATTATTCTGAGATTTTTCTTGTCAGGGTCACCAGTGACTTTATGGTTGCCAATTGCCAACTGCCAGCCTCAGCCTTCTTTCCTCACTCAGTGTCACAGGTAAACACTGATGTTTCTCATAATTTGGTCCTGGGTTCTCTTTTCTTGTATACTCACACATTTCCTAGGTGATCTCATTCATGACAAGCTTTAAACACAATGTTGTTATTATGTTCACGGCTTCCAAATGTATGTCTATTGTTCAAACCTCTCCTACTGTCCCCAGACTTGCATATTCTATTGCCCCATTGACATCAGCGCTGGGATATCCAATTAACATTTGAGGCTTACTTCTTCTAATAGTAAGTTGTTACTAAAACCAGAAAACTAAAAGTCATTCTTGACATTTCCATTTTCTTAAACTTCCATATTTTAAAAATATTTTTGTTGATTTTACTTTGAAAATAGGTCTCAAAACTGTTCATGTTGGGGTCTAGGGGCATAGTAGTGGAGTACACATTTTGCACAAGGATGCACAAGGCCCTGGTTTCAACCCTCAGCATGGAAACAATGCCAGCTGTCCACTTCTACCCATCTCTCATTGACTCTCACCTGAATATCTGGTTTCTGTCTGATGTCGCCATGATTGCACCTGCCCCAATCCATTTTCCATAAAGCAGCCAGAGTTGTATTTCCCAGCACAAATAAATGAATTCCTGTCACCCGTATACTTCACAACTATCAAGTTCACATTATGCTTTGGAAAAAATCCGTACTGCTTTTCTATTCAGAGAGGGAGGGCTTTGCCTAGAATACAAGGCAACTATAAGACAAATCTGAATGTTCAGAGTGCTGGAACTCTCTTATAAAAATCTCCCTATTACCTCTGCTATTCCTGAAGAAATATGCTTGCATCCTAGTCACTAGCATGCTGAAAATACTAAAATCTTTTTAATGTATAGATGATTTCATGTGTGTGTGCCTGGATGTGCATTTCATTTCTTCCACTGACTAGAACACTTTCAAAATCTCCTTACTTGGCAGGTTGTATCTTAACCTCCAAGAATCAGGATAAATGTGATTTCCTTAATTACTCCCATTGTAGAGCAAGGTCCTTCTTCCACTTATTGTCTTTCCATTATTTAATTTGTTATGTCACTTAACACAATCTGTATGTTGGTATATGTATTTTTATCTTCCTCTCATCTGCTTGCCCCCTCACAAGAATATAATGTTGCATGATGGCGGGGACTTTTTCTCCCCTTGTTTAATCATGGTAGTCTTTGTACTTGAAACAGTATCTTAAATATGAGGGCATAGGTTTTAAAAAATTAGGGAAAAAGTATTTCTGAATAAATATTCAAAATAAAAATTGTAGCTAGAATTTTATGTATGTATTTGATGGAAATTGAGCTGGAAAATTATTTAAACTATCATGAAGGCTTTTTTGTTGCTTTTCTTGTTGTTTTGAAACAACAGGAAACATCCTGCCTCAGTTTGCCAAATGCTTGGATTACAAGTATGTGTGTCCATGACCAGCTCCAAAAAGGTGCTCTTGTAAACAATAAATGAGATGTTAGAGTGCGAAAGAATTACCGCTAAGAAATAAAGCAATCCAGAAATCGTTACAAAGGCTGATGCTGTGCAGGCAGAGAAGTTTTATATCAGGTGTTTGAACCATGGTATAAAATCTGCAGGTAGTGGAAGATGTGCCACCTACTGGAGCATGCTACAGCAGAGTTATGACATGTGGAAGGGTGAAGGGGAAAGGGGAACCCTATCCTCTCAACTTCCACACTCACAACATGGAACACCTCTGTGACCAGATAAGGGATATAGAGAAGCTTCCTCGCACGCCGAGCTATCTGGTAGATATCAAGGGGTGCCCTACCACTGAATTTTGACACTATCTACCTGGAAATAGCATCAGATCCCACAGAGTAAATAGTGGTTAAGTCCCATAAGCCTGCTCCTGTTTCAGATACCACTTGCAATTCTCAGGTTGTGATCTTTGCTTTTGACTGGCTATAAAATGGAATTCCCTTGACTTTCCTGATGAGACTCAATAATGTGCTAGGACAGCTCAGGGGACTCAGAGAAATATTTTACTTATGTTTACCCATTTATTGTAAGGGATATTTAAAAGATGCAGTTGGACAACAAGATGAAAGAATGATTTGGGCAAGGAACAGTGGAAGTATCACTGTGTCAGAAGCTCCATATATTCAGCAACCTGAAAGGTCATTGAGTTTCATTATGCAAGATTTTTTTTAAGAGTTTAGTCCCTATAGCTCTGGAATCTATTATGACTGAAAGTTCTAACTCACTAGTTTTCTAATTACTTGAATACTATGGGGACTGATCCAATTATGAGCCTATCTAAGGCCTTACCACATTGGTATATAGCTTGTCATTCATTCATAAAAAAGATCTGTTATGAATAATAATAGACACTCCTAAGACTCAGGAAATTCCCAAGATTCTAGGAGGTCAGTAACATGGACTAGAGGCAAGCACACAATATAAAATATCCAGTGATCTTTGTATTGTGCCATAATAGATTTCAGAGCTATTCAGACCTTAGTTTCAATTTAGTGACTCCATATTCTGCTGCGTGAACTTGGATAGTGAGCTTCTCTACGGATTCAACTCACATGAGAACTGTGATTATAAAGATGCATTGATCACCTTTTCCAGCGCTGGACCCAAATACCTGTAAGTCTAGAGTGAACCGGCTCATGCTATGAGCTGCAGGGAGAGTGTAGGGTTCTATTTCCACAGAAGTCCTTCGACAGGCAAGAGTCGGTGAGTGACTCCAGTCTGGGTGCCTGCAGTATCCCCTGAAGAGAATTCCTGGTCAGGTACCATTCCAGAGAAGAGTTACTTGTTTGAGCCTACAATCCAGAGCAGTCTTCGGATGGCTTCAATTCAGCCAGAGTAAGTGTCAGTGTCCCACAATGACTTAAGTGAAGGCCAACCATGATCAGGGAACTGCAGTCATGCTGAAAGAGACCTGTGGAGGGATCTGCACTCTTACACCCAGAAGTTAGGCCCGCAGCAAACTGTTTTGGATTTAAAAGTTGCGGCATTGGCACCCTTGACCTTGGTGACCACATACAGCATGAATCTGGGGTCTCTCTGCCTTCTTTACCAAGCAGCATGAACTGGAATGTGTCGTGGCCTGTGGCCTGGAGATTGCCCCGAAATTGTAGGTCCTAGAAGAAAATCCAACAATATAAATTACACAGGAATTTCTTTTTGTCCTTTTTTGTTTGTTTGATTGGTTGGATTTTGTTTTTGGTTTGTTTGTTGTTTTTGTTTTCAGCGAGTGGCTGTGTTGTTTTTACTTTTTTGTTTTGTTTTTGTTTCTTTCTTCCTTTCCTCTTTTCTTCATCATTGGCATTTAAGGACTTTTCCTTTGTCCTTCTTCCTTGAATTTTATCTCTTTTTCTCTTTTTTATTTATTTTTCTTTTTCCTCCATTTCATACTTTGCCCTTTATTTTTCTTTTCTACGTAATTTCTTATTTTTTTCTCCCTCCTTTTCTTTTATCTTCTATTTCCCATCGATTTTCCCTAGAGACCTAATTCTGTAAACATCCTTATAATCCCCTGGGGTCCTTCCCCTTCTCTCTGTTCCCTCTCATATCGACATAGAAGATCAGGGTGTGACAAAACTCATAAGGAAGTAGGCCTGTTAATTTTGAGATTTTAGAGCACATGCAGAGAACAGTTCCCAAAGCCCTGCGTATGGGCTTTTCACACGAACTTGAGCAAATTTTCAATAAGATGGCTTAGACCTGATGTCAGCTGGAGGCATGAAATCCCAGCACCACCTCTCAGGTCCCACATGTAGATGTTCTCACAGGCTTCCTCAAGGTTAGGAGAGTAGGAAAGAACGCAGATGCCAAGAAGAGCTTGCTCTAGTGATTTTCCTGGGGAAGTTTGCTCTCTTTCCTGCAGGGGCACTTTCATTTTGTTTGCTTGCTTTTGTTCACCCCACGCTTGCTTTCCAGACCTTGTTTCCTCCCTCGCTCTTCATTTTACTTTTTCAAATAAACTTTGCCACTGCGTTTTGCTTGTTTTGTCAATTTTTTGTTCAAGATGAGAAAAACCTGGAATCTAACTTCAGATGGGGAGATAAACAATACAAAACTAGGTAACATTTATTTGGTTAGCCACGCCTAGAAAGTGCTTCCCAGTGGTTGGGGATGTGGCCCTGGATTTGGCCCCCAATATTAAAAAAAAATCACAAGGAAAGGAACTACCCAATAACGATATATATATATATATATATATATATATATATATATATATATTTGTTTGTTTAAGCTTTCAAATTTTGCTTCTTGCATTTCCCTGTTCCAAAACTCTATATCCTTAATAGTGTAACCATAAAACTTTGTTAGTCTTTTGATAGTTAACTCTGTTAAATTCTGTTCTGCAATTATTGGAGATATAGCTGTTGTATTTACATAAATATAAGTAAATACCTGGGTTGTCTTCACATTTACACCATAATTGTGGATTTCTTATCCAGAATTAAGGGCGGTATATAACTAGTTCTTGGCTTAATTTTTAGATTTTTCTTTGTTTGTTAAGATTTAGTTTTGTTTTTTGAGCCAGGGTCTCATTATGTAGTCCAGGATGATTTTGAATTCACTATGTAGCCCAGGCTGGCCTCAGACTCATAACAATTCTCCTGTCTCAGGCTCCCAAATGCTGCAAATAATTTTTAATCTTTACTAGTATATGTTTGTAGTAATAATGAACACATTCATTGTAGGTAATTGGCACATGTACATAATTGATTCTTATAGTATTTTAATATCCAATTTATCTTGGATGATATCACTACAGTTAATGAGTAATATTAACTATACTATACCATACTATATATAACTTGATATTAGTAGGGTGACATAATTGTCATTATTTTTCTGTAAACCAATGCTCATATTACCTTTGAAACATTAACAATACTAGAGTACATTTCCAGAGAACTCAGTTGTTGGGTTAATTTCACGGCATTTGTTCCTTTCAAATTAACCTAAGTGGTTGATCTTAGGGATGAAGTAAAGGATTACAGTTAGCCACACACAAAGTACATCACCAAAAAACAACTAAAGAGATATCTGTACTAGCAACATCTTTACACTACAAGAATCTGCAAAATCAGCGTGCGTGTGCACGCGCACACACACAACACACCACAGCACAGCACAAAACAACAGAATCATGAAAAGACAATTCAACAAAATGCCTCCCAAATCTCCCAAAGCCAGTCCAGGGGGTGTCAAGGGGCAGAATAACATAAGCCACATGTCTGCATTTCTCAAAAGGATAATAGAGAAGGTTAAAAAGTTAAAGAAGTACTCAGTGGAATCACAGAAAATATAACTAAACAGATAATGGAAGTAATAACCAAAATGATCTAGAACCTTTCAGAAGACTCTACTAAGTAGCTAAATGAACTAAAAAAATAATACAATAACCAGTTTACCAAAAAACTAGTCTATGAAATGTTTTCAATCAGGAATCCAGGAGATAAAATTTATTTTGAAGTGTGGACAGCAGACGTGACCAATGCGGGCACAGAAATTCAGAACTGGAAGACAATGATGCCTTCAAAAGACCAACTACTCAAACACCTTAAAATCAGTAAAAAAAAAAAAAAAAAAAAAAAAACCATGAAAAATTGATCCAACATCTGGTAGAAGATGCAAAGAAGACTAACCTAAGAGTAAATGAAATAAATGAAAAGTCAGAAGACAGCATAAATGGCATAAACAACATGTTGACAAAAATGGAAGATTCACATTCAGAGCTATGCTAAACCAATCAGTAAACTAATCGGATTATCACACACTCGTAATCCATATTCACATACCCTAGACCAAACCACCTCTGAAAAGCCTCACCTATGAGTACATGAGGCTTTGTGGAAACATCTATCTATAAGCCATAACACTGAGATTTCATCTCACTCCAGGAAGAATAGCTGTCATCAAGAAATCAGCAAATAACAAATACCAGAAAAGCTTCAGGGGTAAACCTTCTTCATTGTTGGTGGGAGTGTAAACTGGTATAATCATTATGGGAATCAGTATGATTTATTAAAAAGAAATTTGACTGAGCTATTTCCCTTCCAAGTATCTTCCAGAAAGAGTTAAAGAAATCATATCCCAATGATATATGAATACCCATGTTTATAGCAGCACCATTCATAATAGCTAAATCTTGGAAGCAGCCTATATGTTCATCAATCAAAGTAAAAAGGCAATAGGAAAAAAGGATAGAAAAAGTATTACTGTAATTCAGCATAGACAGTATCTAAAAGTGTACTCTGATTGTCTCACACTTTTTATGTTTTTCTGCAGTTAGTCTGAATCCAGTTAATCTATATTTATGATAATTAACTTGATATGGACTTATAAAATAGGTAGGTGAATCTGATCCTGCCAAAAATTAATTTTAAAGGGTGAGGGAGAAAACAATTGAGAAGCGTCATGTACATGTACCAATTGCCCACAATGAATCTAATCAATATGTCGTGCAAAAAAGTAATAATAACAATTGAAATTTTAAAAAATACATTAAAATGTGCTGCCAGGGCCAGCATACCCCGTTTAAGTATAAATATTTGGGACTATTAACCCCAACCAATCCAGAAACAAATACTACCTTTTTTTGTGAACTGCACTCTTAACCCTAAGCTTTCCCAGTTTCATTGTTATAATGACTGTCTTATCTATAGGCAATGTGTGACCAAATAGAGTGGGTTGCCCTAAGTAATGCAAAGCCAATAAGTGCAACCAAGAGGTAAAACTGTGAGTAAAAGGTTATTATTTGCACAGATAGGAAGAGTACTACCAAAGCAGTTTATCTCCCTGCACAAAGATAGAAAGAGGATTTCAATCAAGCCAGGGACTCAGCTCAGCAGTGTAAGTCCCTGCTTGGCAAGTGAGTTTGATCCTCAGTACCAAAAAAAAAAAAAAAAAGAGGCTTTCATTGAAGAACATGTGTATCCTGTCTTAGTCATTTTATTTTATTATTTTTTATTTTAAGGAAGAAAAAAGCACAGAAAAATTAAAAAGCAAACAAACAAACAAACAAAAACAACAAAAGCCAAATGACAACAACAAAAAATTAATGATATGAAATTTCAAAATAAGATGATAGGAATTTAACAATGGTTGTTATATTACACATTGTTATCTTCAAAATAGTTGCTCATGTTACCAGATACAGGTATGCAAACTTGAACAAACAATATGATTCCCTTTTGAGCAGTTTCTTTCCCTTTCACTCTATCTGTTGTAACTTTTGGATCTTATTTACTTTCAGTTTCTTACACCAGCAAGACCATATGGTGTTTTAACATGTTAGTTTGATTTATTTCACTTATGTGTATGGTTTCTAGCTCCATCTATTTACCTATAAAAACCTCAAGTTTATTCTTTTTTTTAAAAAAATCCATTTTATTTCAAAGAAAAAAATTTTAAAACATATCAATCAGGAATACATACATTGCCCATTGTCATCCCCCAATCATTCACCCAGAACACAAGTCAACTGCATTCAGTTGTCCAAACCCTATCAACAGGAATCCTCCTCTTGAATGAACTCAGAGAAATCGGTAGAATAACTATCTTAACTATTTTTATGTACATATATACATATACCTGTACATATACGTATGTTTCTTTCAGCTTCCCACAGGAGTGAAACAATATGATGTTTACACATGTATGTCTGGTTTATTTCATTTATGAGTATGGTCTCAATTTGTATCTATTTACCTATAAAAGTCTTCAGTGTATCCTTCTTTATGGCTGAGTAGTACTGCATTGTATCACTCTTGTAATCCACAAACGAGCCCCCAAACTCAAGTTCAAAAAATGAGGCAAAAACATATTTTAAAAAGCATCGCTGATTTATTTTATACTGGGCCCAGTTGAAGATTGCAAAAGCTGTGTGCTGCTCCTCTATACTTGCCCCCTTTAAGTACATATTACAGTTTACAAAGTAAGGGGTTATGGAGTGGATCAGGAAATCTGCTAATGAGGACGACCTTTGTTTTCCTTAGCAGAGAACAGAGGTCTAGCAGTAATTAATAATCCTCTTTCAGCTTATTCTAGAACCACATGTTATTTGTAGAGGGCAACAATGGTTAACATATCAATTAGGTCAATTAGGTTAGGTTTCACAATTTTTTTTACAGAGGAGAGCATTGATTAACATATCAATTTCTTTCCAGAGTGAAAGAAAACGCATACAGAACAGTAGGCGGCGTTACAGGTACTTTGGCATAACACAAACATAACTAGCAATAACGAAGCTCTTTTTGCTAGTGTATAGCAATCACCACACCTTTTTTATCCATTGCTAAGTTGATGGACACTTATGTTGGTTCCAAGACCTGGCTATTACAAATTGTGCTGCTCTAAACATGGGTGCACATATATCCCTGTGGTATGATGTTTTAATTCTATAGTGACAATACCCAGCAGGGGAATACTTAGGTCAAATGGATTAGTCATTTTAATTTTGCAGGGACAAAATACCTCACAGCCACAAGTTAAAGGAGATGAGGTTTATTTTGGCTCGCAGTTTGTAGAAGTGTTAGTCCACAGTTGGCTGGTTCCAAGGAAGGGCAGCAGGGCAGCATGGCAGAGGGCTTAGCAGAGGAGAAAGAGCTCATGGCGTGGCAGCTAGGAAGCGGGACATCCTTCCTTCTTCTTGCCCTTTTTCTTCCACCCAGGCGGCGAGCCTATTTGTTGGTGCCACACATATCCAAGGAAGTCTTTCCTATTCAGTAAATTCATCACCCACACCCAGAACTACTCTAAACCTATCAGTTGACTAATCCAGTATTGCACACCAATGATTCAGGCACAAAAGCCCCAGCTATGACTGCATGAGGCTTTAAGAAGGCTTCTAAATATAAGCCATAACATATGCATATAGAAAAATATAGTCTTCACATGTAGCATGCTTAATCCGTGATCATGTGTCTTCTCACATTGCATGTTCAAAAAATGATGAACAGTAAGTAATACTTCCCAGGTAGAAA